GAGTGTGGTGATGAGCAGCACAGGGGAGCAGTGTTTCAGCGGAGGGGTGGACGGGACTATTCAGTGCTGGAACACCCCCAACCCCAACATCGACCCCTACGACTCCTACGGTAACAGCGCCGTGTGTTTAGTTTAAATCAGAGGATTGATCAATCTGATCACTGTCACTGACTGTCTCTCTGCCTCAGACCCCTCCATGCTGCGGGGGGCGCTGTGCGGACACACCGACTCTGTGTGGGGTCTGGTGTACAGCAGCGCACACCAGCGCCTCCTCTCCTGCTCTGCAGATGGGACTGTGAGACTGTGGGACGCCAACACCACCTCCCCCGCCCTCGCAGTATTCAACGAAGACAAAAGTACTTCAAACGTGTATTATAACCTTATTTTTCCTAATGTTCGCTTAAGTTGAATAGTCATCATTAATGTATCTGTCTTTCTGTGTCCCAGAGCTGGGGATCCCCTCTTCAGTAGACCTGGTATGCAGTGACCCGGCCCACCTGGTCTCATCCTTCACTAACGGAGAGATCGGACTCTTCAACATGGAGACCCGCCAGCTGGTCCTCAGTCTCGAGTCCAACTTGGAGCCGGGTAGGTTTGCCAAGTTAAAGGCTGCAGCATTTAGACCTCGATCAGTACAATTTTACATTGGTTTCTAATCTTACAATAATAATAAAAAACACCCTATACTATAAACTATATACCGTGTGTTGAATTCAGCAATGAAGAGGAAGTAGAGTCAGAAAATATGGCTCTTGAGCAACATCTAGTGGCAGCTATAGGAAAGGAAATCATAAGCAGACACATCTACTGACCTAAAATGTGTTTCTGTGTTTTGACCAAAAAAGATAATACAGTAAGATCTATTTGTGCATAATATAACAATGTTTATTGTATTTCTAGTTTTACTCACTTTACTCGAAATGCATTGCGATTCCCAACATTATTGACCTGCCCATTATAACTTTTCTTTAAGAAAGAAAATGTACAGAATACCCAAACATCTTTGTGACTTTTAATGTTTCATGAGATAACATTGACTATATACATGTTCTTCAAAACGTTGACTTGAACACACCAATGCTGCGTATGCGTCATATGAATAATGTACATTTGACCAGCAAAAAGATATAAATCGGATGGCCTTTGGAGATAATGCTTTCAGACCGTTTCAGCTACTGATCTCATCCAGATGGACTGCCCCCCCCCCCCTGAGTTCCCTCTCCTGCTGTGTGACGTCTAACGTGCTTATCTGTTTCCACCAGGCACTCCCTGTCGGATCAATAAGGTCCTCAGCCACCCGACTCTTCCCATCACCATCACCGCGGAGGAGGACAGACACATCAAGTTCTTTGACAACAACAGCGGGAAAATGATTCACTCCATGGTGGCTCACCTGGACGCTGTCACAAGCTTAGCTGTAGACCCCAACGGACTGTACCTCATGTCAGGCAGTAAGTACCAGAACATATACATGTTACACTTTGTATGTCATTTTTTACGCACCTGCTGAATAAACAGAGATGATTCAGTCACTATAATGTAAAGTGGATCCGGAGTGTGCCTTTATAAAAATGTCTATACTTTTACAGTCTGATCTCTTGTAATCAGTTTAACACTCATCCATAGAGAAAACAAATGAATGTTCCTAACTCATTTTTAGCTCCACTTTTGCATTATTGAACTTATCAATTATACTATTAAAGCTATTCTATAACCCCTCAATTGTCATTTTAAGGTAAATAGGGTTTTCCCATACACCAAACTGCACGGACTACAAATGCAAGTCTTGTTTCCAAGTTTAAGGAGCAACAGGCTCATAGTTACTTATATAACTGGTCATGTTGTTTCGCAGGTCATGACTGCTCTATCCGTCTGTGGAACCTGGATAGTAAAACCTGCATCCAGGAGTTCACGGCTCACAGAAAGAAGTTTGACGAGTCGATCCACGACGTGGCGTTCCATCCAACTAAATGCTACATCGCCAGCGCCGGGGCCGACGCTCTCGCCAAAGTGTTCGTATGACGCGGAGCTGCGTGTCCCCCTGCAGCCCCGCTCTCGGACTCAGTCTCCCATGATCAGGGGCCAATAGAGACACAGGGGGGGGGAGGACCTTCAGGCAGGGGTCCAGTCCCACCTCTCACAGCCCACTGGTTTCTTGTCCCACTGGCAGACTATGTAGCCTCAAAACGGACCGTGACTCTCCATGACGAGGGTCGGCAGGGAGGGCAGTCAGGAGGAAATCTGCTCTCTTGACCCCCCCCCATCTACCATCCAGGCAGGCCTGGGTGTGACCCGCCACAGCACCCCCCCTCCTCAGACAGACTCACCTCTGTAACTAGCAGGCTCAGGACAAGTGTTAGAGCGAGGAGTGGAGAAATTAGGTTTCAAGCCGGTCTTCTGCCCCGTGACTTCACGCTCATCCCAAATCCCCCTGACCCCTCAACCCTCTCACACACCAGGTCCGGGCTCTTTTACTCCAAGTCAGGTTTTGTGTTGTGTGGTTCCAGAAATATGGGGTACTGAAGGCTCACTGGAGCTGTCGTGGCAGCCTCTCACTTCTTCTTCTTCTCTGCTTCCCAGACTGACTCTGCTTGCTGGCCTGCCTTTATTTTTTCCTTTTTAAAAACACGTATTGACAAATGTGCCTTTGCTTTAAAAAGGTCTTGAAAAATGTTATTTTAACAAGCTTGTTTTGGGGAACAGAGAGGGAGGGGACGGCGGAGAAACAGAGCAGGATGGTCACAATGTTGTCGATTTTAACATTGGATGTAAAATTACAAATGCTTATAATAAACAAAAATATATATTCAGTCTTAAAATTTACTGTGCAGCGTGAGTTTGAGTGCTCCTTTTTGATAAGTGTGGTTGGGGAATCAATTTTGTGCATTTCAAAGCTGGTAAAGTGATACAGACCATTAAATATAATGCCTGTTTGTTAGATTCAAGTAACTGTACACTTCAGAAGTAAGATTGCAAGCGTATGTGTCCAAAGTAAACCATCTTGGTTAAATAATTACAATTCAAACTTCTAGATGTCCATTTTAGGAATAACTAACTAATTTTGGCCAGTTTGCTCTTGTGTGAATTGAATGGCTTGTACTGTATGTAGTTTTCCCCAATTGTGCGGATATGCTCGACTACAATGTGATGTATCATGTCCGGATATTTACAGTAGTCCAATGTTTAGCAGAAATTAGTGCAGTACTGTGGGACTACTTGGAAATAATGAGTTCACCATCCAACACTGAGGGAAGACAAAGAAATGTCTCTAGTTTACTGGAGGACAAAGCTATCCTGGGTTTTAAAAAAGACAAGTCAATCAAGATGTTGCACGTGTAGAGTGCAGCTTCAAATGAGCCATTTTCTCAGTCACTGGTTTGTATATGAAAGTATGTTCAAAATAAAACCTGCTGTAAAATGTTTACTGGGCTCTGATGTTGGTCATTTGGCAAACGCTCAATGGATTCTGTGTGTTTCGCCATGAGATACAGCTTGATCCTGTTTTTTGATTAATTTTTTCTACATTTTGACTAATTGAACTTACACAGAATTAGTCATTAGCAGCTTCTGCTTGCTGTATATCTATGGACAAACACACACACACACACACACACACACACACACACTGGATTACTGATACATAAGAAAACTTAGAAGCTCAGTGACTCTAGGGCAGGGGTGGGGAACCTTTTTCCTCTCAAGGTCCATTTACATTTTTCCAACATCCTCCGAGGGCCGTACAAATTACTGACCTCTGCTTAAAAAAACTAAAATCACAGCCCATTCATTTCGCCTTTCTTTCATGCTGTGCAAAGAAAAAGCAACCTCTTAATCCAGATATCTCACCATAACTCGCGTATGCATGCACGTGCACGGTTGTGGCATGACCACCAAAACAGAAAGATGTGGACACAAGATGTGTGCAAATGTATTTAGTTTCCTATCCATGTGGACATGATTTAAGTGAGGGGGGCCTAACCTCCTCTAGGGCGGTCCGGGGGCATGCTCCCCCGGGAAGATTATTTTTTAAATGTTGAAGTTAAAAGCATCAATCTGGTGCACTTTGAGAGCAAAATTAGGAGATCAATGGATACATCTCTCAACACCCATATGAAACAGAACTGGAAGCAGATTTATTTTTCTTTATGGATATTTGACAAATCACTCTCCTTTCAAACTGTATTCTTGTTTATTAATAACAACTTTTTTTACTGTCATATAGTATTTTATACCTGTTTACTTTATTCTCTTATTTTTTTATAACTATAATGATCATATAAAGATGTGCCTTTACCTCACTGGTTGGAGAAAAAGCTTCTTATATTCGTTAGCATAGCTAGCTAACCTGATGCTAATAACAACAAAGTTATTGACTGTATGTCAGATGAACAGATCGCCACTGGGCTTACAACTAAGACACAGCCATGCAAAAATTGCGGCATGTGTACGGCTCCTTATGGGTACTGCAATTTTTGGAAGTGCCGGAGCCGCGTTCTGGTGCTCTCCGTCAGCACTACACCCCTGTCAGACGAGACATATACCACGTGATGACACGTTAGGCTCGTGTTGTATTCAAGGACCCTGACCTTGTCCAGGAAAAACAGGCACTCGCTTGTTTAATTTTGTTGCGGTCTAGATTTCTTTAATTTCTTTCTTTTTTGTGTGTGTACATAAATTACCTCGAGGGCCGTACCGAAATTGTCTCGCGGGCCGCAGGTTCCCCACCCCTGCTCTAGGGCTACTGCTTCAGTTATAACGGTTGACTTTTTCCCTAAGATTTCCAAGTGGAATTGGGGACAAATCTTCGCATTGACATGAGAGATAACGATAAGTGTTAATCACTTTGCTTGTGTGTTCTGATTTAGTTAAAAATACGAAAGAAGTGCGATTTTGATAATAACATCCAAGAAAAAACATGAAAAACAGTTTAACACACTTTACATTCTCTTAATTTTATTAATTTTATTAAAAATTGCACAAAAAAATATTGATCAATTATGAACATTATTAGAGAAAGGCTTTTAATATGCATATGTACAAACAGGACATAACGGGAAGAAAATCATAAATACTCTTTCAACAAAACGGAGAAATGCCTGCAAAGTTAGAAGCTACCACACTGTTAAAAAACAGAAGTGAGGAGACGAATGGGTCATTCCAGAGATCACCTATACAAAGATATACAATCTCCTCGTTCCTCACTTCTCACACAAGTCCTTGTTCCGTGTTGTTGATTTTTCTGCCTTTCACATTAGCCTCAATTCAACTGACACTCATACCAACAGCAATATCAGCACCATAGTCTTTGAGAGGAACTTTAACAATGTCCCCATTATCAAATCTCTCCTATTAGGAAGATTAAAATGCACAAATTCTAAGAAAGTTGATCCTCTTAACAGAGAATTGTTTAAAAAGCACCATATTATGAAGTTTATGAAGAATGTTAAGCCATAAGAGGAAGTGCTAGGCAAGCTTTAAATCTATATTTCTCTGTAAGCACCACGTCCTAGTAAGTTAACGTAATGTTTGTTTATCATTGTGGTGGTACCAGTTTCTAATAAGGCTCCTTCTTATAAAGGTGCTGTTGTACTGGAGGACTTTCAATTTTGGGTTACCAAAATACAGTATGTTCTCCTAGCATGCTACATGCTTTAAAATGCTTGTAGTTACAAACACTGGTTGCTAACAAATGAATGTTATGCTTGATGCTCCGCAGCTCTTTTCCAGAAGAGCAGTAGCCTACGGTGGCCAACAGGTGCAAACGCGCCAAACACTTGCATAAGGAGAAACACACTGCACTTTAAAAAAACGATGCAAATATAAAAACACAAATGTGCCAAAACACATGCAAAGGAAGAAACATCTTTTACAATATGACATGTGCGCAGCATTCAAAAAACATTCACTAAATTGACGAAACATGCGCAGGGTTTACTAAGAGTGCTGCATTAAAGGTCCCCTATTATACTGTTTTTCAACTATATATTATACGTCTCAGATATATACAAAACATGTCTCTAAAGTGTTTGTCTGAAATACCAAACAGATCATTGTAGCATCCCATAAAACCCTCTGTTTCAGCCCTGTTTCAAAAGTGCTGATTCTCTGTCTGTTACTTTAGATGAAAATAAGGAGCTACTCCCCACGCCTCTCTGCGAGATATTTGGTTAAAAAAAAAAACACAATGGTGCTCTAGGAAGAGATTCGGGTGATAAGGTGGGCGGGTGTTACCTTGGTTGGTGATTGGCTAATGGTTACAAGCCAAAAATCGTTATGACATCATAAAGTGGCCAAAATCTGATCAACTCATTTTCAGTTTTAATATCAATGGATCAGAACAAAAAGTGAGCAAATCTTTTTTCCTGAAACTTTCAGAATCTCTTTATACAGAGTATGTATAAAAGACATGAACAAGTGGATTTCGCATAATAGGTGACCTTTAACAAAATGTTGCAAATGCAAAACGATGCAAAACACAACGGAAACAGGGACACTAAAAAGTGAAGCATACAGCGTGTGACGCTTGTTGATGCTCGGGGATTATAAAGTTGGCCGACTGTCACTGTTGGCAAAGTTAGTCTGTTTCATAATTGTAAGTGTTTTGCCACTATTATTGAAATGACTAGGTTAGCTAAGTTAGCTAGCTAGCAACTGATCTGCAATAATATCGGAAGGAATCATGCAATTACATTGTTAAGATAAGACAATAAAAGATGCATTTTAGTACGTTTCCAGTAACAGTGCATCGTTTTTTGAAACTGCAGCGTGTTTCTTCTAATGGAAATGTTTTGGGCCGTTGGGACCTGTCGGCCACCGTATATCTGAGGTGTAACTATGCATTAGAGAGGTGTACACAAGAACTATACATAATCGTGCCAGAGGAGGATAAACACCAGTGGCTGTAAGGGGACATTTCACAACCCTAAATTGTTTCTGATTAGTGCCTTCTAATTGATCTATAAAGCATTCAATGATTTACTACCTCTGTCAGGGTTTGGTTGTTTGTGTGTTGCTCAGTTTATCTTAGCAACACAGTTAGTAGGATTACGGAAAAACGACTTGCCCTATATTTATGAAACTTGTTAGAATGGCCTTGTCGGCGATCTTCAAGTGCCATTCTTGGTAAACCCCTACAACTTATAAACCATTTATAAAGGATGACTCTTTAAGTTTGTGGATAAAATGAATAGGAATACTCTGGTCTCTTTACAACACCAACAGAGAACAAATGGTACCACAGTGTGCATGAGATGTCGCTGTTAATGTAAACCCTTTACCATTAGCACCATCTGTATATTTGGGACCGGATAGTATTTCACTTTGAGATTTATTTTGTCCACAATCCTCGCCTAAATTTCGAATCACCTCCCTGTTTAAATATGGGGGCGCTGCAGCCAATCCAGCACCGCCATCTGGGCACCAGAGTGAGTACATTTACTATCAGTGTTCCGTGAAGACGGCCCAGGATCAAGATGTCTGTCTGTACTCCTCCTCCCCTCCACCCGTGCATCCTCAGTTTCTAGGCTGGGAGTTGAACTCCTGGCAGATGTTGTTGATGATCTTGGGAACAAATTTGTAGAGGTTGTCGAACTCGTCCACGAAGAAGGAGTGCTCCTTGTCGGGGTCTGTGGCGATGTACTCCAGCTCATCGTGGGCTGCCCAGGCGATGCCGATGGAGTATGCAATCACACCTATAGATCACAGGGAGGGACAGCAGGTTACACACACAGGCCTCACATGTGTTTGTCACATCAAACACACACTGTTTGACACCTCACTGTGGACTGACACACACCAGAGGAAAGTACGTTTTGGATAATTATATTGTTTATACTGGGTTGAAGCCTATTTCCTCCAAAGTGTATCCCGCAAACTGTATCCCTGTTCACAGAGAGACAATAGTTCCTCATTGTATTTGAGAGAATATATCCAGGCAGATATCCACATGGCCATCAACCACCTGACAACACAAACTTGGCAAAACAAATGTAGACATAAAAATAGAAGCAGAAGTTTGAGGAAAATGTATTTGGGGTTAATGTCCCTTTAATTGGGAAAAAACTGATTTAATTATTCTTATAATTCTTTTGCATGGCCTCAGATCTACTTCATAGAGTAAACAAATCTCTTCACTCAGGTATTTTTCCACAGGCCCTGAAAACTGCAGTCATTAAACCGCTCTTAAAAAAGAATAATCTAGATGCCTCAGTAATGAACAATTACAGGCCCATATCAAACCTCCCATTTCGGTAAAATCATTGAAAAAGTTATTTTTCAACAGTTGAGTAATTTCTTGCATTTAAATAGTTGTTTCGATGTGTTCCAGTCAGGCTTTCGTCCAAACCACAGCACTGAGACTGCTCTTGTAAAGGTCTTCAATGACATCCACTTAAACAGAGACAGTGGCAGAACTTCAGTGTTAGTATTATTAGATCTCAGTGCTGCGTTTGACACTGTTGACCACAACATATTACTCGACCGACTAGAAAACTGGGTGGGACTTTCGGAAACAGTTCCAAATTGGTTTGAATCCTACTTAAAGGACAGAAAAAACGTTGTTTCTATAGGTAAATACACATCTGAGTTGACAAATATGACATGTGGGGTACCTCAAGGCTCCATCTTGGGGCCTCTTCTCTTTAACATCTACATGCTACCACTGGCTCAGATAATGAAAAACAACAAAATAAGTTACCATAGCTATGCAGATGACACACATTTACGTAACAATTTCACCAGGAGACTATGCTCCAATTCAAACACTGAGTAAGTCAATTGAACAAATCAATGACTGGATGTGTCAGAACTTTCTCCAATTAAACAAAGATAAAACTGAGGTAATGGTTTTTGGAGCCAAGGCAGAACGTATAAAAGTTAGCGCTGAGCTTCAGTCTGCAATGTTCAAAACAACAGATAAAGCCAGAAATCTAGGTGTAGTCATGGACTCTGACCTGAGTTTCAACAGTCACATTAAAACAGTTACTAAATCAGCCTACTATCACCTAAAGAATATATCTAGGATTAAAAGACTTATGTCACAGCAGGATTTGGAAAAACTTGTCCATGCTTTTATGTTCAGTAGACTCGACTACTGCAATGGTGTCTTTACAGGTCTCACTAAAAAATCTGCAGCTGATTCAGCACGCTGCTGCTCGAGTCCTCACTAACACTAAGAAAGTGGATCACATCACTCCTGTTCTGAAGTCTTTACACTGGCTTCCTGTGTGTCAAAGAATAGATTTCAAAATACTGCTGCTGGTTTATAAAGCCAAGCTGGTTTAGGCCCAAAATACATTTCTGACCTACTGCTAAATTATGAACCATCCAGATCTCTCAGGTCTTCAGGGACTGGTCAGCTTTCTGCCCCAGAGTCAGAACTAAACATGGTAAAGCAGTGTTCAGTTATTATGCTCCAAATATCTGGAACAAACTCCCAGAAAACTGCAGGTCCGCTGCAACTCTGACTACTTTTAAATCCAGACTAAAGACTTTTCTTTTTGCCGCTGCTTTTAATTGAACTATTCACATCTTAAACTGCACTGTAACTTTTATCCATGTATTTTTTCTTTTAATGTTTATTTTATTATCTTTTCTTTTTAATGACTGATTTTAAATGCCATTTTCTTAATGTCTTTCGTTTTTTGTAAAGCACTTTGAATTGCCTTGTGATGAAAAGTGCTATATAAATAAACTTGCCTTGCCTTGCCTTATCATGCTTTTACATTTTTGTTCAGTGCACTTAAAAAATGTTTCATAGATGGAAGGACCTAAACACTTCGTGACCTGACCTTATTTCCCTAAATCTCCTTCTTTTTCAGATTGTATTTTGGTTGACCTCTCACCTTGGCTATGGACAGCCAGTGAAGGCGCCCTGACGTCATCGTAGGAGCGCCCATCTGTAATGACAATCATGATCTTGCGTTTGTTGGGTTTGGATTTGCTGAAAAGCTGATCTGCGGCGAAGGTGATGGCAGCGCCGGTGCTGGTCCCGCCGCTCCAGTAGTCGACGCGTTTGATGGCGTTCAGTAGCTCGGCCTTGTTGTTGTACTGGCCGAAGCCAAACTCCAGCCTCTGCTCGTACGTGTACTGCACAGCCCCGACCCGCGTGTCGGTGTCAGAGATCTCAAACTCCCGTGTGATGTTGGCCACAAACTGAAGCACTGTGCGGAAGTTGCCGGTTCCCACGCTGCTGGAGCCGTCGATCACAAAGGCAATATCATTGGCATTGAGGCAAGTTTTACTGCACAGCAGGCGGTCGGTGTCACACACTCTCTTCACCAGGGGCTGCACGGCCTTCCTCAGAGCAAACCAGCTGGACACAGGCAGGGAGTAGAAGCCGTTTGTCCGACACACAGCCTGTTGGATGAAGGCCACACTTTGTTATTAAAGAGGACATATTATGGTCATTGTCAGGTTCATACTTGTATTATGGGTTTCTACTAGAACATGTTTACATTCCTAACTGTTTAAAAAAACATTATTTTTCTAATAGTGGCTGTCTGAATATACCTGTATTCATCCTCTGTCTGAAACGCTCTGTTTTAGCACCTGTCCCTTTAAGCTTGCGTCCCGAAAACAAAAATATCCCAGAACTTTACAAAGGTAGTTCTCAAGTTTGGGTATAGACAAGTTGAGCCAAATCTGATTGGCTTGTTTAAACCCTCGTTTTCGCACATTGTGGGTCGGTAGGCACTCTATAAAACCAACTTTACGTGTACAAGCACTGGAAAAGTGAGTTTTCAGGATATGTCCCCTATAAAGCACTGACATACCTGTATGAAAATACTTCACCTTGTCAACAAAGTTGGTCTCAACCAGGTTTTGTTTCTCATTATCATCCGCCCCCTCGATGGTGACAAAAAATATGTTGATGCCAGACTCCCGAGCGAGCCGAGACGCCTCCTCCACCTTGTCTGTGGGCCAGCCATCCACCAGCACCACAGCCACGTTAGGAGCCCCTCCACGGTTTCCGTTGGCATCACTGAAGAAGTGCTTGTTGATGTAGGAGAGGGCCTTTCCTGTCGGTGCACCAGGGGGCAGCATGGACACGTTATATCATGAAACTGTCTATAGAGTTTAAAATAAAGAAATGTATTTGGGAGAAGACAAGCTAAAGAGGTAACAAAAACTAAAAACATATAGATTACAGAGTATGAAAGTAAATAAAATTGACACATTTTGAAAAATAAATATAGACCTTTCAAAGTGCTTATTATATAGATTTAGTGGACTGAGATTTTTGGAAGATCTAGTTCTCTCCTAACCAATATGGGCAGAATCTGCTGCATGCCACATAAAGACTTTACAAAGTAGATTAGGTACAATTGCATAGCTTTAACGGTATACCGTCACAAAAATAGTGATATCCTATCATTTAGTCTTGGTGGTCTAAACGATGGCAAAACAGGAGAGGCACTGTTGGGGAGAAGCTTTTACAACCACTCACACTGTTGTATGATTAGAGAGCACTTTTGGGCAAACACAAACAACACTATTGTACGTCAATGCAACATTTAGCAAGTCATAAAGACACATGTGGTATTAGATGCATGCTGACGCACTGACCAGGCAGAAAAACAGCACGTTTCCTCTTAAAGCTGACCCCTATGGGCTGGTAAAACCAACTGCTGTCAGAGCGGGGGGGAAAACACGACTTACAGGAAGAAGGACTATAATTTACCCAGCAGTTTCTTGCAGCAGATTTAGATTTAATTCTATCCTTGCATGTGAAAGTGTACCTCGCTTGTTAACCATGCGATAATTGAGCCTCTTTTCACTTTCACACTTTAGTTTATAGGCATTTAATGTATCTGGCAGCCAGCAGCGGGTCGCTCACCTACATTGGAGAGGCCTCCCTTCTGCCCAATCTTTTCTATAGCAGACTTCACCTCTCTGGAGTTGGAGTAAGACTTCAGACTGATCTCTGTCACAGGGTCATCCCTTTAGACAAAGAAAAATCATTAGCATAATGTTTTCTTAACGAAAAAATGGCCGATAGCGTCACAACAGGAACAGTGAGGTTACCCGTATTGGATGAGGCCCATCATGGGTCCGGCCACACCCACGTTGATGGTCTGAGCCACCTCAGACAGGAAGTCCTTCTGGATCTTAAAGCGCCTCTTCCCAATACTCCAGCTTCCATCCATCAGGAAGACCAGGTCCACTTTACAACCTACGAAAAGAGGACACATCTCAGGGTTACAACAATAAACACAATATTGTGTTTGGTAATACTTTGGACGCTAAAGCAATGCTAGCAAAACAGTCAATGTGACAGACATTCGAGGCACCTTGTGACATTTTTGACCACTGGTGGCAGAATAATAATTTGAGGTACATACCTGGATCTCCTTGTGACACAGGCACAGGCTCAGGTGCTCTAGGTACAGGTTCCTGTTCCCTCACGTTAAAGCCTGCAAATCCAAGAAACACACATTTTAAAAGCAGTGATCTACTTTTTGATATTTTCTTTTGTAAAAAAAACCAGTTATTTTCAACTGTGGCTGCGAGGAAGTGCGGTCGTCTTTCAACCAGAAGGTTGTGGGTTCGATCCCAGCCCATGGAGTCAACATGTCGATGTATCCTTGGGCAAGATACTTAACCCTGAGTTGCTCCCGATGGCATGGCCAACAGTGTGTGAATGTGTGTGAATGTTAGAGTAACATACACTGCTCTGTATGAATGGGTGTGAATGGGTAAACGACATGTAGTATGTAAAGCACTTTGAGCGGCCTTAAAGACTGGATAACGCGCTGTATAAGTACAGTCCATTTACCATTTACCATAATACAAAGCTTTTGCAGAATTAGCATGAAGGTTTGTTTGTTGCATTTTCATTGAATGTGGCAAAATTGCAGCCATTCTCTTTTGAGAGAACCCAAACGTTATCCAGTATTTGCGGTGGCAAGAGTTATGCCAAACAGGAACTGGTTTTATCCGCAACCGTGCCATTGACTCCAAATCCAAAACCTTTCAATTACAGGCTGTGCAGAAACCTCTATTTCCTTGGATAGCCTCGGTTTGGTTTGTACTTACAGTCCAAACTGAGTATTTACTGGCAAGATTACTCTTTTGGGTGAAAAGTGCAAGCTATCTCACCTGATTCATAAGGATTAGCATCAGGCTTCCAGGCATCCACTGGCTCCACTGCACAGATGATATCATAGAAGCTCAGCATTAGCACTCTACCACAAAAACACTCACCATGATAGCTACAGAAAAAGGTTGATTTATTTCCCATGAAATGGAAAATATTGCATTTAAAAAAAAAGCTCTACTCATTATTAGAAGGCTATAGCAGCAGCAGTTAGGAATTAGTATTGCTTTATAGATATAACATGGGTTATACCATTTTTCCTGGATACAAACAGCTGTTTTGACGCCACATTAACCAATGCTCACCTCTAGTATGGGTTGTATCCAATGGCACTCTACGGTTGCCATCTGATTCTGGGGTGCGAGGCACTAAAAGTAAAGACATGTTATGTTAGTGCTGACAGACTGTGAAACAAACACATGTAAACACACCAAAGTGTTACAGCCTGCGCCTATCAGCTCCAGGTTTCATTTGGTTGGATTGTGTTGCCACTCAGTTTTCCAAAACCATGTCCCTTCTACTTATTTAGATTGGGACCTCTGCTGTATCAACAAACAGATGGAACCATGGCCTATAATCTGAAAGTGAGGGCTTTCTGCATGCTTTCTTGTGTCTTGTGAATGTGCCATATTGTAAGTGGTTTCACGTTTTGTAGTGTTAAGACTGTGTTGCCCCGGCCACACGAGGACGAAAACGGCTAAACGCATAGGATTAATGCAAACGCAATCGCAAAAAAGCTTACGTCCACACGCAATAGTCATCCGGATAGTGTCTGTCCACACGAGACAGCTCCGTTTAGCGCCAACCGCTGGAGAAGCTGCAGTACATATGCAGGAGCCTGTACGTGGCGCTGTAACTTCCTCCACAAAAGCAGCAAAGAAGGATGGTTGTCATGGTTGCCCTTCTGTTTATTCTCCGCGGTGGGGGCCGAGGGAACCGGGCAGAGTTTCTCGCCAGTCAACGTGTATTAATGTTTAAATCTTCCGACAAAATTATAAAAGTGCCGGTCAAAGGTTTTCTTTGTTATTTATTGAGCTTTAAAACAAATGAATAACGAATCTATATAATATAATAATAAAATACACGGAGCCTCTCTTTTTCCTCCCTCTCTTTGGACAGCGTCAGTGTCTGTCTCATGCAGCAGCTGATCCAGTAATGAGTGACCCGGCCGACAGTAAAAATAAACATATTTATAACTAGGTAGTTTGAGAGGTGTCTCCGTCCTGTCAGATTAGACTTCACTCGCGTTTATGTCCATATCGAGAGAAAGATAAATAATCTGAATTCAGTGTGCAGTTTACTTTGACGCAGGGGTGAGCAGCAGAGGTGGGGAGAGGCGGTGCTATTGCCTCATCATTATCAGAAAATGATCGTATAAGGCGTACACACGGAGCCGTTGGACCCCCCAGAGCGTTGCGTATGCCGTTCTCTCCACCTTGGGACCCGTTATCGTTTCCGCTGTCGTTTAGTGCCATATTCGGTCGTCCTCGTGTGGCCGAACGGTCTATATGACACTAAACAGTAACGAAAACGGTGTGACTAAAAACAAATCAAATGTGCTTACCTTTCTAAGAACTTAAAGGAATAGTTTTTGCATTACATAATTCACTTTCTTGCTCCTGTGACAGTTAGATGAGTAGAAAAGGCAATAACAGAAGACATTTTATATAAACACTAAATGGAACAACAAAGAAATATATCGAAGTAATGAGAAGCAAGTGAGAGAAAAACAATCTGGTGATCCATTTTCCAAGTCTGATGTAAATAATTTTCACCTGTGGTTATGACTTAAGAATGGGTAAAAAATATATAATCTGTGAAACAGGTGGGGGTGGGAGTGTTGCCAGGTTAGCACACAATTGTTCATACACGTATACGCACATTGCTCACTTTAGCCCCTTGTGGCCAAAATAAGTATTACAACAACAAAAAATGATCAAGATCATCTGGTTTTACCCCCTACTTATTTTGAGATGGAAGATAAATTATGGAAACTACAACGATTATTATGACAAAACCTTTTTTTCACCTGTTTTTAAGTCATAAACAGCAGAGAAAACCATTTAGATCTGACTGATAAAAATGGATCCCCAGAATTTGTGTTTTTATCACATGGCTTAGGCCTATGTGGAAGTACTGAGACAAATAAAATGGAACATGATGAAAGAGACTTAGAAAAACACCATCCAAACATATAACAATGTAAAAACCTGAACCCAAAGAATTGTTAGTTCCAAATTAGAATAGAAAAACACTTACGGTACGGTCCAAAGTTATAAAACCAGCGTTCATATTCTGAGATATCAGGCCTGTGATCTCGAGCTAGAGGAGGATGTTGTGAAACCCGTTAGTATTCCCACAAAAAACTTCAGAGGGAAAAGCACACATTTCCATGGTTGAGATTGGTCATATTTCCCCCAACCAATCCCATACCATTGAAAACATCGGCTTTGTGCAGAATTATCACTCACAGCGTCTCATTCTCACATGCACTAAGAATAAACCTGCCCTATGATCTTATTTTCCACACTTCACAGGAATCTCTCATATGGCAGGCAGATGGCAAACACAATGTCCTGAGAGAGACATTGCATGTACTTACAGCTGGAGCCAATTCAACACATACATGGTCAGCAGATACCTCCCTCTATCAGTCACACTAGCATGCCATGTTTGCACATGCAACATAAACGGTTACAAGGTGTAGTGGCCTGCCACTATGAAGGGGGGCAGTACACATCAAACCGTCATGTTAGACTTGGTCTTACCTGTAATCTCAGGTGTATCCGTCTCACTCCATGTGTATCCTGAGTCTGGAGCTGCATAACTAACATCTGAATGTACAGCAGAGAAGGTGCTGGTATCAGCAACTACAATGGTAACACTAATGATACACCAATTAGCCTCTGCTGCATTGTATTTAGTGCGTTTTAGCTAATGTTAGCATGGTAAACTGGTATGGTGAACATGGTTAACATTTTACCTACATGTTAGCAATGTCCTTGTAAAAGATGGATGTATTACAATGAGAACATCTTCTCTTTTTCTTAATACATTCATGTTGTGAACATGTTAGCATTTAGAAAGAGTTGCTAGCATGTACAAAGGACAATATGTTGGTAGCGTTGGTCGTTCTGGTTGCCCTCTGTAGTCTGAGTAGTATAACCCTATAACATTTTAGTAGGCTTTGGGTTGCATACATTGAAACAGTCCATGTGGAGAGCAAAAGAGGCTAAACACATTGGCCAAAATGATTAGTACCCATTGGCTATTGTCTGAATACAATGGACTTTAAAGTAGCTCGATTCCAGTTTATTTGTATTGATCACCATAGAGTAAGTAGGCTGTGAGACAATACAAATTCTTCCAAAATTGTTCTTGACTTTATTGGGAGCTTTATCAATCAATTTCCAAAGGCCACATAGTTAGCACCAGATTAATACATTAAAACCTAAATTAATCTTAAAGATTGCAGCCATACCATTACTCAGTTTTAAAAAATTAAAACGTTTACATTTGTATAAGAATAAACAAATGACATGTTCAAAGAAGGATGATCTACTTTGTATTTGGTACCTGCTGGTCGTCGAGCTGCAGGGAACCAATCAGGACGAGGAAAGGAGGGAGGTGCCCAATCCCTTCTGGGAGAAACTGTGCAGAGGAAGATTAGAAAACTGTAGGACAAGCAGCACGGATACTTGTGACCTCCACTAAACCTAGAACGTTATTAGTGGGGTAAGCACAAGATGTTCAGCCTTGAGTCAGGCACTAATCATACATTAGTCCCTTAGACAGACAGTGGCTGAGCGGCTAAAGGAAGTGAAGACATACTCTTCCTGAAAGACACAGGAAGCGTCATGTATTTCTAATTTTTCAGTTTTGTACCTGCTGCTTTTGGCATGACAATTGGTCGACAGACACAATTGTTACATGGCAAAAGCATCAGGGAGTATACTTGGCCTGACTCTTGCATGGCCTGAGATTAATCAAATATGATTGAACACTAGAAGCCCTAACAGCTGAGCAAAACAAAAACACTGCATGCATCTATCTAAACTGGCCGAGCCATGACACACACTTCAGTAAACCCCTCCCTGCGGTGGATGGGTAACTTACACAAACACACGGCCTTGGTTCTGAGGTTCCCATCCAATAGCAGCTAGAAAGAGCCCAGCGAAGCGTGGGAGTATTATTCTAAAGTTGGTGTCAAACTAGGGACAGTGTAGATAGAGGGGACGCAGAGATTAGCCTAATCTGTGGCTGGTCAAAGGCTGAGCGCTCTACAGCAGACAGTGGTGTTGTTTTTTCTAATGAAGCAGGTGCTTTAAAAGGATTGAGTTTAAATCTCTTCTGATCATGGCCACTTCAGTGGTCACTGCGGTCAGAAGTTCAGAGGAGGATCGGGCAGGGCCGCCCCTGGCCAATTTGTGGCCCCACGCAAAGTTATATGATGAGGCCCTCTGTGTCGCGAGTGTCGAAAAAACTAGGATTACTATTGTGAGGCTGTAGGCCTCAAACAACCAGCGAGGTTGCACTTTACAACCATGTCTGTCCAAAACGTTTTATCTTGTTAGACATTAGTGTGAAATGGTCCTAGTGTATGTGAAATTTAAACAAAAATGTGTTTTGTGAGGTTGCTGTGATCTTAACTTCTCACCTTTGTCTTTTGTATTGTTTTTGCCAAAATGTAAAGGCCGCAATTATTGTAATGTGACGTAGGGACAACCCAAAAACATAATTCCCCCACCATGGCCATCGCTGTGTGGAGGCATAACAATGACAATGAGGTAACAGCCGTAATACTTAACATTATAAGTAATAATAAAATGTGTCATCATTTGTAATCATTTTGTTATAAAGCATTTTCTTTTCTTTTTTAATGCTTTTTACTATAATTATACAGTGCATTTTTATAAAATGTTATAAACACGGGGTCATAGAAAGTGTTGCATTTTAACACCAACAACCAGAGTCTTGAGATGTGTGACAGAGGTTTTTTCATGAATTATTTTGGCTGTCAAGTGGGCATATCTCATTACAAGTGTGAGTCTTAACTGCGTCGTAATGTATCCTGAATGCTAAGCAATAAATGCAAACATCTGTTTAGGGCAGCCGGTTGGCAAATCGACTCAGGAGTACACCGTTCAACTCGTAAACTCCAAAGCCGGCAAACATCCACCCTGCTGGAGTGTCCTTGAGAAAGAGTCTGAATCCTGCTCCAGGGGCGCTGTGTAGCTGATCCTTACCTCTGACTTCTGACCTCGATCTTAAAGAATTTCCCTAAGGTGTTAAATAAAGTATCACTAGTTATCCACAAGCTACCTATCTGAATAGCTGCTCTGTGCACCGGTCAGACACTCTCTCTCAGCATAAACAGACAATGATGCCCAGCTTAAAACAGCTCACACTGCATTTTAGGAATCATATCATACAATCAAGCACAATTTAAACGGATATGGCTCCATCTAATTTTAGGGATCTATGGTTTTGCATTCCACAGAAGCCAAAACAGAAGAGCATTCTTCAGGGAGCCAAACCCAGGCTGGTTTGACCGTCTAGAGCTTTCTATTCCTGACAGGCTGGAGAGAGGATCCAGATCCTGCAGCGCTGTGGATGGGTTCATGTGTCTCTCTGGGAGAAGCACCGGGCCACTGGATGCTGCTGCTTTCATCTCTCTCTTCCTCTCTGCAGGCTTTAAAAAGCTAAGGGAAAAGACCATTCCAGATGGGATCTGTCATAAGATGTTATTACTGTACGGACAGATCACCATTCTCATTGTTGTTTTATTGAAGCGTTTGCTCAGGACAGTGGAGATTCGACACAGGATGAAATCAGGACAGTGATAAAACAACCTCAAACTTTTCTGAGTTGTGTGACATACCATCTGACTTGTGTCTCTTTGTGGTCATTTTTAGTAACTTCCTGTTTTGTGCATGTCTCTTTCTCTTTCAGTGATACTTTGCAAGGCGGCCCACAGGACCTGCCCTTGGTAGTACCACTCATAAATCCGTCCAAGGGCCGCCCATTGAGCCACAGCATCGCAGAGGGAAAACATTAGTGCTGCTTTATGCAATATTTTGTCTGAGGTTTTGTTGTTCTAGGTGTTTCCCTGTTTGATCCAACCTCTTGATTCTCTATATCAGTGAGTGTGTCTGATGGTGCATTGCACGAACTCCCGCTCAGCGTCTGGAGAGACTTACCGGGGTTTGACTGGCTCATGGTTGGAGTCCGCTCGGGTGGAGCCGGCTGAACCCTGTTAAAAGCTGTTTGTAGCAATGAAAAACAGGCAGATAGAATAAAGGAGGGAGAGGGGGGGGCAGAAGAAAGCTTCAGTTCGGGTGGCTCCATCCACAAATGCAGCACAGCTGTTTCTCTTCAAGTGAAAGCATTTTCTCGCAGCATGATATCAAAAACGAAAGGATATATGCTGGGTGCATTTACAGGCCTTCATTTGCCTCTTTTCATCTTGGAAAATGAAAACACGTATAAGAGGATGTACCCGATGACAGAGAACAGCAGTTATCGGGGAAGGAATGTTAGCTGGGATGCCTGATGGAGTGGATTAGTGTTGACCCTGGGGTGAAGATCACAGGGGCTTTTGGGTGTGGATATGAGGGTCAGACTTACAGCGGCCCACGTCTCCTGGATTCTTGTTCGCAAAAAGACATCTGTCCCCTGTGCTGCCCTTGGCCCACATTCCCTGTCAGTCCTACCATGTCTTGTTTATTTGAATGTGTGTGTGTGTGTGTGTGTGTGTGTGTGTGTGTGTGTGTGTGTGTGTGTGTGTGTGTGTGTGTGTGTGTGTGTGTGTGTGTTAATGAAGAGGCAGACCTGGGCCAACTGGAGAGGAGGGTTGTCTCCTGATAGCTGAACCTGCGTCTGGTCTGCGCAGACCTGGGGCCGAGAGGGTGAGACAACTGTGTTACGAGACAACATGAAAACACATTCTTACTTTTCTATGCGCATTGCTATTGAACATGGTAACGGTTAAACATCTCGACTTTGAAAGACAACAGAACAGGGTAATGCTTTACATAAGGTTCCTTGTAATAAGGTAATTATGCCTTGTAACATTGTTATGCATTACAAAGCATTACAAACACATGTATTGACTATAGCGAACATCGTGCTTCATAGCAAAACTATTGTATTTATATGTAATATTTATATTCACATTTATCTACCTTACCACATCTAGTGTTTTAGTTGGGCAGTTGCAAAAAGCACACTTGAATAAGTGCATGGTTAACTGCTAATAAATGCATAATTAAAAAATAAACAAGTAAAAGTGTAATAATCACATAAGGTAATACATATGTTTGTATTGCTATTATTAACTATTATAGGAAACTTGTATTTCATTGTATTAATGTTCTTAAGCAGTCTTTAAGTGCTTATCAATGATTTATAATTGAACAATAAACAGTTATAATACGTTTTTAATGCTTTTTAACATTATCAAAAGATAATAATGTTACTTAGCATCTTATAAAGACTCTTGAGAGCTGTTATTACATGAACCTTAATATAATTAGAATGGAAGTTGGGCTTCTTCTGAACATCTGGTCCAGCCCAGGGTTAAAAGACTAGTACAAGTATTTAAAAGCATCTGTTAACATACAGAACAGAGATGCCATGCAGGGTTTACAGATATCAGCACAAAGAAAAGATAGAGCAAAGAGCCACTGGAGGAGTGGAGTGAAGACAATCCTTGGTAGAATGAAAAAAGACACATCATGATGATTAAAGTTGTGTTTACCTGCACTGGTACGTTGTGGGAATCTATTGGGATAGGCAGCTCCTCTGAATACTTTGGAGAAATGCCACGGTTTAGTTAAAGTATTATAGGTGGTGTAAAGGACTTTCCAAGAGAAGTGAGTATCAACATACCTTGGCTGGGAATCTTTCCTTGAGCATTCTGTGACTGTCCTATCCCAGTGATGAGCATGGGCGAATTTAGACAACACAATTGTAATGTAAATACAACACAGTTTAGGATTAAGCATAACTTTATCACCCGGGCCTGTTTACACTTTTATGGCTTGAAAGTAAACTGAACCGATTTCCAATTTTAAATACACAAGTTGGGCCTTAGATAATGACAAACTTGTTTTGAAAGCAAGACCACTGATACCCTTAGTACACAATAGGGATGGGACGATATTGGATAAATTGCGGATCAAAATAAAAAAAGGTTGCACTCAGTTGATCGTGGTAATTTTCCATTATCGGGATGATAATTAATATCCTCATTATTAGCTTATATAAGACATTTAGTTTTCCCCTGAAAAAGATGATCACTAAAAAAGGTGATTTAGCTAAAGTGTAAGTGCACTTTTAAGATTTTCTACAATTTTTAGATGATTATCGTGAATCACAACTATGTTGGCTTGGATATTTGAAATGTGCATATCGTCCCACACCAATACACACTATTCCCCGATGACTGCATGCTTCATGAGATAACACATGTTTCGGCATACATCCCAGTGTAAATAAACAACCCTTACAACACCTCATGCCACCCTTCTGTGCTTTGCTCCACTTACTTGAACCTGCGGTTGCCACAGAGGCAAGGTATGGGTGACTGCTGCCTGGATAGAACAAAGACAAATGGGGTCCCAATAATGGAGAGCAGAGAGATAATGTTACAGAAAATGAAGGAGAAAGAGACGATCGGGAGGTTGTCTGGCACACCGCCCATCTAATTTACACACATACCTTAAGATATTGCAGTATTGTCTGCTCTCTTTAGCCGCATTTCTATCCAAAACAGGGCGGATGACTCGCAGTGATTACTCTCTGATAATGTTTTAATATAATAAGAGCGATGAAGGCTCCAATGATCAAGTGTACAGTGAAGTCAGTCAAGCAACAGAGCTGCAGCGTGCTACATTTACAGACCAGCTGCAATTTGTCATGATTGCAGTTGTGACTTGTAATTACCGGCTGCAATCATTTGTCTTCATCATTCACTTTCACACAAATGAAAGCTTGTTCTTGCAAACAAGCATTTCTAGCTACAAGCAGCTAATGTTAGGGAGACGTCAGCTAGGCGGGGCGCTACTGCAGTGGATCGTCTGTGCGGACCGGTATTATTGGATTATTAACAGCATCCTGCATCCAAGTAAATACACAATCCTGCACATAGCATACATAGATCCATTGATTTAGGTGAATGAATTCACTTTTTGTACATGCAATAAAAAGCGTTAAAACAATGATGTAAGTGCAGTTAAATCACCTGCATCCCTGACTTTATGGACAGCAGCCCGAGGCTTGGAAGTAGTGGGTGGTGGTGGAGGCACAGTTGTGGTGGTGGTGGGAGGCAGAGTGGTGGTGGTGGTGGGTTCAGGTGTTGTAGTTGTGGTGGGTTCAGGTGTTGTTGTTGTAGGAAGCACTGTGGTGACCGCAGGCGATTTGGCCTCCTTTTGACCTGAAAGGAGACTATAGATTATGAAGGCGGTCATGTACAAGACGGATGGATAGGGAGGAGGTCAGTCACAACTTTGTCGTAAAGCATTCTTGACATGTTTCAATGGACTCCAACTCGTCATTCAACAAGAGCAAAGTTCAACATGTCAGACTCGAAAGCAGGGATGTCTGCGTCATAAACGTTGCTCTCCGGAACGCACTTATTTGAAATCTAAGACATAATCGTGTTCAAAACTGGGCAAAAACTGTTTGAAAAGTGAACTATTTTAAATGTCATTTGACACTTCATAGCGGTTATATGTCATCTAAATCTAATCTAGAAACCCTCAAACATTTTATCTATATTTCTCTTAGTTTTAACAAACATGTCTAGACATATTACGTGAAGCTAAATCATTGCATGACAGATAGGTTTCCAAATTGCATTTCTGCCTATGCATTGTGCCCTTTTTGACTACACACAGACTGTTCACATGCATGCAACCAAAGCCTGCTCATATTTTATTGGTCAGTACAACTCATACTTCAAACTCTGCCGATACAGAAATCTTGTCAAGTTACCTTAAGAGATTAACTTTGTCCTATTAAAAATGTCATTGTAAAACACCAGCGAACAACGAATCCACTCAACAACAAGCTAAATGTTTTGCACCTATTCTTGTAAGAGAATCTTGTTGCATGTGTAAAAATAACCCTTCTCTCACTTGTTTTCACGTAGGTCGGTCTTGAGGGCACGTAGTCCAGAGTAGATGGGTAGATCACTCCTTTCTTGGGTTTCCCCACTGAAACACAATCAAATCAGCTGTGGGTTTGAGTGAAAAAGAAATGTGTTTGACATTGTTTGCTTCGCCAATAATACCTGAGACCACGAACGACTCCCTCCACTTAGGTAGAGACAGAGAGCGAACCCCATTGGAGTTGCTGCCTTTGTAGAGGTTCTGCCCGGCCATCTTCCTCACTATCACCTTCCCTCCTGTGTTAGTGATGACGCCACTGTAGACACACAACTAGCTATCAGATAGTTAAACATAAAGGTATCTTTATTGCTTCACTATTATAAATCTGCTTCTAACCTGTGGATGGCTGCATTGCAGATGCTGGAGATGGAGGCGAACACGCCGGTCCCATAGACTTGCTGCTTTGTCTCCTTACAGTGAGCAGGACATTTGGCTATGAACTCTGGGAGATTGATCTTTCCCGCTCTGACATCGCACTCTATGTCTGGAACAACTGTGGAGGAAGAAGAAGAAGATGGTTGAGGACAAACTATAAGATGGGTCATAATTGTTGAGGTAACATATATACGATTGTTTTGACCAAAATGTAATTAGATCTAAAATAATTGGTCAATTCATTGATTATTGAATTGCCGGAAACATATCTGACACTGTGTTGGTAATCAAATAATTCTTCAAGCTAAAATATGAACCATATGAAGGTCTATTGGGCCATTGTAGGAAACAAATAGTGAGGAAAGTAATATTCAGGATAATAAATTTAGTTGATTTGTAAGTTTAGGAAAAGTGTAGAGCGGTTAATCAACAAGAAAAATAGAATATTCTCTGAGATTTTTAAGTCAGACATTTGGAGATTTAAATTTGTAACACTTTGTTCATAATTTATTTGAATTATGGGATATGTCTATAATACATTGAAGTTGTTATTTGAAGAATTAGTTGGGAGAAAAACAAGCACATTTGAAAACATCACTTGATATATTAGAGAGAATTGTAATGATATACTACTTTTTAAGCGAATATAAAGAGACAGCAGTGGAGACAATAACACTGGGAATGACGGAGATTACAGGAATACTTGTTGATCATGTCTACCTTGCTTTGGCTTCTTGTTCTTTGATCCTTTAGGCTTGGCCCAGCAAGCACAGGACAGCAGGAGCGCTGCGGGTGAGGCAGAGGGAGTTTCACATAATAGCAGACAAAGTATCATAATTATCTGTGTGTTTACTGTACACACAAGACCTCTCAGAGGGTGGTGCTGTTTGATGATGTGAATGTGCGGAAAGATAAGGGAGTTTTTTGGGAAATATTAAACATTATAATGGAGGATGATACATTCAAAACCAGCTGTACTCCTGCAGAGAGAGAGCCAGGTTTCTCACCCAGGCAGATGGCAGTGAGGGATGCTCTGATCATGATGGGTGGTGTGCCGGTTCAGCAGGTCTACCAGATGTCCTCTTCTAACCTCCCAACCTTGGAGAGAGAGGAGAAGCAGCAGAATTTCACTGTTCACCCCTCAAACTCATTTCCTGCTTTCTCACTAAAAGTAACTTTGCTCAACATGTCTGAATGTGAAAGCGTTGTAGTGTCAGCTGGAAACTAGACAGAGTCAACTTGTGCCACTGTGGTATACTTTCCAGAGATGTGTTGATATATAGCAGACAGACTTCAGACTGTAACTACACACAGAGCTGAATGAGTCATCCAGCATCCGTAAAGAATTTTGAAAACATTTATTGTAACTCAAATAAATCAAATATGGATTATATTTCAGCAAAACCTCTTGTTCTAATTATCTGGGTTACAAAAGGCTGAAAGCATTTGCCAGTCAGAAGCTTCACAGCGAACATCTGGGCTGAGACAAAGCAGAAAGCAAGATCTCTATCTATGGAGTCAGACTCAATTAGAGAGCACACACAGACACAATTTAATGTATAAGGAATGGAGAGCTGTGTTCAATCAGATGGCTTCTTTGTTTGGCTCTAACAACCACATGAAGCTGGGTCCCAGTCTGAACTACAGTATGTTTAGAGCAGACACAGAAAAGGTCTGTCATTCCAAATCAAAAGGTATGATGAAATTAGAAGGCAAAAACAGGAGTTGGAATGTTGTAGTAATAATAGTGACACAACAGATAGTCTGAACAAAGACAGAGGGTCAGAGAAAGCCTTACACTGGCTGGCAGATTAACTATCATTAGAACGCCAGTTCATGCTCCGCACCACAGTGATGGGATGGAGCTCCCCTTGGGGAAGTGATGACTGACGCTCGGTGGTACAAGAGGAATGCTGAACTTCCCATGAGGGCAGCGTCCCGTCTGTGACTGCCGCCACACACCGGCAGGTTAAATCTGATCAAGTGGTGAACATGTAATCATACAGCGACCTCTGAAGCAGGGTCAGGTGTGATGCAGTTCAAACTGTTAGCAAAACAAAGTATTACTGCGTAAAATGCAGTGTTAAGATTCACATGTCACTCTAGCAAAGTTATGCCTAGATAAGTACGATTTTTATTTTTTTTAAGGCAAAAAGTCATTGGCTTTATTGATTTTTTGTATCCATGATGATTGTATCTACTCGAGTTCAGAGTTGTACATAGTATTCCCGTAATTCATCAAATAATATCAGTCAATCACTCATTAGAGCACAAAGTAGGCTTTGACAGAAACATTTTATAATTGTTCAATATTCAATTCTGCAAAACACTGTCTGAATGCTAAAAATAAAGCTAAAGCAAGCAACCAATTAGCCTAGCTAGCAAGACTGGGAACTGCTTCTCTTATTCTAACAAAAAAAACGTTATATCTAATTTTAATAGTTCTGAGATGTATAATAGTACATTTAAAGTGCTGAGCTGTCACTTGGCCTGGCCTGAGTCATGACCTACGTCTATGTTCTCCGGAAACACTAAGTCCCACAGCAACAAACATTACCGCATGGCTAACCACCATATCGGATCTTGCTAGCAAATGTTTTGACATATGGCATAGGTAATTCCACACCTCTGCTTTAAATTGGCATTCTGATATTTTGACTCTAATCCTAACTAATCTTAGTCCTCATACCCAAATGTAACTAACACAAATAACTAAACCAAGAAGTAGTAGCCAATCAGAGGCAGAGTTTGGTTCATGCTTTTGCCATAAAAAGCATTAGGCAGGTCAAGTGACATCATTCTGCATGTTAATTAGCCATGTGCCAACAAATGTAGACCGGTTTTATTTTAACATAGGCCAAGGATAAAGAGATAAAGATGAGAGGGACGAGTTTACCTTTGACTTACTGCAAACTACAGGACCTTAGGAATTCACAATTTCTAGCCAAGAAATTCTGCGATGTAACCCTCATACTACAACATGTTGAGTTTACACTTTGTATACTAATTAAAACACGTTTCTTTTAAATGTATTAACCTTTATGATTTATAACCTTTAGACGCAGCCAGGTTAGCTGTTGGCTGCTTTTACTATTGTAACTGTAGCTGTAACTCAGCTTAATATTAATCTCTTTATCTTACTCTCTGCAAGAAAGTGAATAAGTGCATTTCCATAAATACTCAAAAATACATTCAAAACTCGAGCGTGAATCACCAACTGTCGCCCAAACGCATTTAGTGCTGGATTTTCATTTCATTGGTTTGAAGTCAACATGAGTGAGCAGTGTAATGAGGTAACATAACATAATCATGTTAAGTTAAAATGAATCCAGCTGCGGTTGGCAGTGATAGGAATTTCCCTAATGCAGCTCTACATTTTTATCTGACATTCATGAGCACTGACATGATTTTTCCATAGTGTTGTGCTTTGACAGGCAGATGGAACCTTGCTGCACAGTCAGGACTACAATTTGTCCTTGCGGGGAAAGATAGCTGAGGCCGGGAACAAGCTGGGACAGATATGCTTCATCTACAGTTAAGGAGACAGACCTGCAGCATGTTAGAGGTGAGTCAGCGCGCTTCACTGGAAAATGAAAAATACAAAACTGGTCTGTCATACACCTGCGCCGAAACCTAGACCGTCAACACCTCTTCCCCAATGTAGAGCTGCTCCTAAAGAAGACTTCTGTTCAGTGACTTGTTCCTTTGAAAAGTCCTTTGATGACATCATTGTAGGACAAAATGAAAAAATTACAATGATTTGAGACCTCTTAATGTGTGTTCTCAGTGTGAGCCTCTAAATGCCTCCTTCTCCAAACAGTGAAACGTGGGGCAAATTATATCCACACACACACACACACACACACACACACACACACACACACACACACACACACACACACACACACACACACACACACACACACACACACACACACACACACACACACACCCACGCACACACGCACACACACACGCACGCACGCACACACACACACACACACACACACACACACACACACACACACACACACACACACACACACACACACACACACACACACACACACACACACTCACACACACACACACACACACACACACACACACACACACACACACACACACACACACACACACACACACACACACGCACTAACACAAGTTCAACTAAAGGATATAAACAACTAATAAAGGACGAGATCTGGGATAACTTATCACATGCTCAGAAAGCTTTGGAGACTGCATGTGAGGGCTTTCAGACCACCGCTTACCACCCCCATAAATCACTAACAGGGTGGGTTACATATTGTGTCGGGTTGTATAGCTTCCATACACCTGTCCTGAACTTCAGATAAGGCGTTGGTTGAGCACAGCTTCTGCTGGCCTTTCACCAAACAGATCTACTGCAGATCTCCTTTGTGCTAGGCGGGGACACAAATCAAACAAACTATGAGAAGCCATCCAAAAAGTAAGCAAAGTAATTTTCCAAGCCACTGCAAGAGATGAAAGCTTCTGTCTAGGGGCCTCAGTCCCTTTCAAACCCAGGAGCTCAGACGGGTCACATATTTTGAGGAATTAAAGCGCAATTCACTGCAAAATAACATTCTACAATGTGGATTACATGCAGATTACAAGGCCAAGCCGTTGCAGTGAAAATTGCATTTTCAGCTCCTGCGGGCAAATAATGATGCAGGATGAAAATCACACCTGGCAGCTGTATAACAGGTATACAATGGCTTTAATGCAAACAGGATGTACGGTAGCCATTAAAAACGCCAGCTCACAATGGGTTCTCAAAGCTTGGGCAGACCACACACATGTCTTAAAAGTGTTTTTGATAACCCCTGATAATGCACCTTTATAGTGAACTTTAGGGCCACACAGCTCCATGCCAAACACATGGACTGTATTTAAATCTGTTCCTGTTTTAGCAGCACTCCCAGCATGTGTTGGCCAGTCTGAAGGCAACAAGGGGACTGGGGCTTATTTGAGTATCATGACCCGCCAACAACTTGGTTTCACAGTGTTTCTGAGTGATGGCATGAGACAGTATTTACACACACCTAGTGCCAGGGAGTGTTAAATCCCAGCATTCACAGGTGGCAAAAGTGTACTGTAAGCATATTAGGTGTGCCAAGTGTTGTAGCAACAAGCCAACTAACCATATGAGAGATCAAACACAGGGGAAAGCCAACATGTCTCTACAAAGTCATCTCTGTGGACTTTTGTGCTGCTGCTGGGACAGTATTTGTTTATTAAGCACAGAACAGGCTGAATTACTTTAATTCTTGGCACAGGCTTGAGTGCAAGCCACAGCCTGTCTGCTGCTGGATATGTTTTATAAAGACCACCTGTGCTTAATCAGACATGTCAGAAGGAATACAAAGAGAAATGTCAAACATAATGTGCAAGAAATAAAAATAAAATCTGAAGAGCGCACTCTTGGGGTTTGTCGATTATAATACTTGCAAAATGAGTCATTTCAAAATAAAGGCTTGATCCAGCCGGATAGAAATGTAAATACATAATAGCTGGATCATTTTACACATATTTTATAGTATAAGCTACAGTATGAATGACGATTAAATGGCTGAATTAATTCAGCTAAAAACCCCACTTGAGTAAAGAGGAAGGGGTGTTTACTAAAAAAAAGTTAAGACAAATAAACAGAGAGTAACAAGCACTGACTTTAAGCACGCTTGGGCAGCCTGTCAAACCCCACAAGCCCGGCTGAACAGTCATAAATTGTTTTTCAAAAAAAGTATGAACTAAATACGCAAGTAATCCGTGTGGTGTTGTTTAACATTCCTTACAGACTTGATTATCAAAACATAAGATTTAATTAGACGCAATGCATATCAATTACGCGCGATTCCATTTTGAAATGGATAATTAATTCACGCCACGCAGCAAACACAAACTCCCCTGTTCATATGGAAAATAATTGTATCTTTCTGTTAAAAGTCCTCATCTCCATAAAGCAATAAACGTTAACTTACCTGGGAAGATAAAATAATCCTGAAGGCGTAAAGTAATTCCCTGCGCACTTTTCCTTTTACGCGTTCATTGAAAAAGCAAATTAGGACCAGCAGGCGTGTGAGCGAGCGCTGAACTGTTCCACCTGGACTTTTACTCCTGCATGATCGGAGAGCTCATTAAAAGTGGAGGACGGGACGGGGCCAGAGCTTCCCCTCTTTGCCCGTCCCACTTCAGGCACCCAGCTCTTCGCCCAGGCAGAAGTAGATCAGTGTCCCGGGGCCATCAGGAGAGGATGCAGAGACTTGGCACTCCGCGGCACAGCGGTGCCAGCATCCTTTTGTTCGGTTGACATGGTGTTTAAACAGGAGAATCTACGGCTAAATACAAAGTTTTAGCATGCCCAAGGAAATCATTTGCTTAATTCGGCTGTAAGCTGCATAGTGACTCTTATGCAAGGGGGGAAGAATGAGCTTTTGATTTACTGTTCTGCAAAAATCTTCTGACTGAGAAACAAATAAAGTAAAAGCAGGGGGTAAACTCTGATCAGAGTCATCACCCCTCCTCCAGCAAGCAGCTAATTAACACCTGTTTGAGAAACAGACTCTTTAAATCACTTTACTCTGGGGTTTGGGCTTTTTTCTGCTGCTGTGGTCTATGCAGGGAAGCCTGTTGCTTTATGCAGATTTGCACTAAGGCTGCAGCAGTTATGCATTATATGGTTATGCAGAAGCTGATTGGCATTTTGATTTAAAGGTCTTAAGAGCTGTTGTAAAAGAGCTCATTGTGCGTGTGATTATGGTATTCACAGAAACCACCTCAGGAACTTTTTAAAGATTAAATCTTCATGGCTCAAGTAGATAATTGCCGGTTGATGTTGATTGAAAAAAAAACTGCTGCTATTTCAGGGTAACTCAGTTTTGTTTAAACAGGGTATTGAAAGCTTGAAGGCAGAACATTTTTATAAAATTCACCACACCCATAGAAAAGTAGAGTTTGAGGTTTTTTGTTTTTAGACACTGCATCCCTTTGATATGATGATTCAGTGAATGGAAATGTTAAATTACATTTCTACAGGTGACAAAGTGTATATAGCCTATGGCATCAATCAGGGAATGATTCTGAAGCTACAACATTGAGTACAGTTCAATGTTTCCAGATGTTATCCTACATCTGTTTCACTACATTACTGGCTGCACTTTTTGTGGGGTGGAGTACTTCGTTCAGGTAAATCAGTTTTATGTCCGATTTATACATAGCTGTGTTACCAATGTGGATTGAATAAAACAACAATCGCAAGAAGGCCTGGCTACCGGCAGAGGGAGGACTCTGTGGTCACTGTAAAACAGGTGGAAATGTGACAAATATAATAATATCAGAATGGAAAACCTTAAAGAAATGTCATGTTCATTTCAAACAGAAACAAAAGATCGTATAAGGAGATGGACATTTAGTATATTTAGCTGCACTGCAACCGGACAGTATGTCAAAAACATACACACACATATTTGGACCGTCTTCATTTTGTTGTATTTTATCTGCAGTATGTTGTGTTATTGCTAATATTACTATTGTTGTATTGTATAAGTCTTTAATCTTACCTTGATGCTTTGGCAAAATAAAGCCATTGTAAGAGCTGGAAATTAAAACCCTTGCTTCAACAAGTGTGAAATCCCACTTGAGATTCAGAAAATAATTTATTAACACAGATTACAAGTACATTCTGTTAACACGGGTAAGAAACAAATATATAAAAGTACTCTTAATCTCCCCAAGCATTTGGTGAAATGTCTTCAGAGCCTGTCACACCAGTACTCTGATGTTTCGATGTGTGAGGGCAGGTCATTGGTGATGACAAATGGAGGCGTGTGGGGAGGGCTGTTGACCCCTGAGTCACTTTCAGGAATGGCTGTGGTGTATTTTGCCTCCGGATTCTGGACAGGAAGTAATGAAGCTGGGGGCAGGGCCTCAGCCTTAGGTTTGAAGTTTTTAAAATGCTGCAGACGCACCACCTCCCTGTGTTCCCGTGTGCAGGGCAGCAGCACAGAGATGTCATTGCGAAACTTGGAGCTCATGCCAAAGTAGATGAGCGGGTTGTAGAAGCTGGCAGACTTGGCAAAGAGACGTGTCATGATGCTGGTTGTGCTTGGCACATGGAAGCCCCAGGCTGACCACATAGACACGACTGCATATGGGGACCAGGCCATGATGAAAGCTGTGCAGATTACAATGGAAATCTGGAGAGGAACATGAGTAATTTAGAGGAGCTGTACAGAAAGGGCCCTTTTAAAGAGTCTTATTTTACTTTTCGAATCAATTCCCTCCAATAAAATACAGATATCAACTTTGTTCCCCTTACCCTTGTGACATCTCTCTCCACCTTCCTTTGGCGGGATGTAAGGAAACCATCTGCGGTCATGGCGTTGGTGTTTTTCACTGTGTTGATAATGGAGGTGTAGCAGAAGAGCATTATCATCACAGGGATGAAAAAGCAGAAGATGAGGATGGAGATGATGTAGGATTTGTGGATGGTGGAGTAATTGGCTTTGGTCCAGTCCACTTCACAGGTACCGTATCCTCGATCTAAGAAGAACAAGACACTAAGGTCACATCCAAGCTTTCAAAAGTTGAATTTTCATTTCTTCCATTGTGATAGTGTGTGAGAACAGACCTGTGTAGCTGCCCCAGCCTAGCAGTGGAGCAGCAGACCAAAACATCGCTCCGGTCCAAATGCAGATCAGCGATACAGCAATGGTGTTCACGCTGATACAGTAAGCTGCCAAAAATACAACAGGAACATTACAATATAATATTCCCACGTTATGGAACAGATTGTAGGAGTTGGAAAAGGTTAGAAAACAGGACAGAGTGAGAGGCACTTCAAGATGCAGCATTCTTGACTTGTTATGAATGTGAAGAGTGTGACATTTTTTGAACAATGCTGCCTTTTCTTATATTAACAGCCTTTGCAAACATCTGCGACTGAAAAGAACCTCTGTTGACAAAGTGTACACAAAGCGTTGTGTTCAGGAGAAGAAAGAAAATACATTTCTGTGCAGCGTTCCCATATCTAATGTCAATATAACACATGAGAAGTGCAGTACAGTTTCTGAAGGGATTGGCCAGGGATATAATCTTTAGGATTTGTTGCCATGGGTTACTCATCTTTGTTAGGCTGAATTACCTCATGTTGTTTCTAAGATCTAAGATCCTTACCTGGTCTCCTTTCATTTCGACCTAAAATTAGGTTGTTTTTTTATGTGATTTTCAGATTTTTATCCTTATCTGTTGCTGTTTGCAGTAGATTACGTTACTTGTTAGACGCTTTTATCCAAAGCGACTTACATACTCAATACTGTGGGCAATCCCCACAGGAGCTATTTGGGGTGAAGTGTCTTGCCCAGGGACACAACGACATGCTGACTGCAGTGGGGTTTGAACCTGTGACCCCATGGTCCCAACACCAAGGCTCAACCCACTGCGCCACACCCCTCTACACCAAGAAGATGCAGTTGTTCTCTACCATATAAAACATGTAATGTGATACCAATATACAAAGGTTTTATATTGTTGTGTTTTACGAACAGTCACAGTCACACAGTAAAAACTCATTTTCTCACAACAGAGGCAGTTGCTAAACCTAATTTCCATATAATTAAGACATTCTTCAGCATCAGTTACACCCGAAAATAGAAAATGTCACCTCAAGATAACTTAATGATACGTTTGCAAAATGTAAATGAAATTGCTTGAGACAAGTGGTAGTAATTTCCACAGCTGAAGTCGGTAATGAGGCTTCATTAGCAGCAAAAAACACACTTTTCTGTCAGATAAGAACTGCAGGAATGTGAAGTGGGCAGAGACTCCGGCCTTAAGCTTTGTTTATATACTCTCGCTTAAATTCAAGGAGGGTAAATCTGACCTTTGTTTGGGTGGCATCCCTTGATGTATCTGGTGACGCTGATAACGGTCAAGGTATTGATGCTTGCAAGGCCGAAGAGTAGGGTAAAGAAGCCATCTACCTGGAGGAGACACAGCGAGGAGTGAATCATGACATGACATCTCTGAAATGTCTTTGACTGCTCCTCGAAGCCTCGGGGTGTGGATCCATTGCATGCCTAATTGTTTCACATCTTTGTCTGTTGAGTTTATTTAGCTTTCGACTTAATCAGATAGAGACGCTGCAGCTCAAGGGCACTTCCTGCCTTTTGAAAAATATGCTGCAGACCGTCACTTCAATGACTGCCTAATAATGCATTCAACAATGAAGCTTTTCTAAGCATCAGTCCATTGTTAGGGATGATTATCTTTTAATCACAGCTCTCCTTAAAGGGAATTATGCGACTTTGTTTCAGTCTGGCTCCAACTGTGCAACAACCGGCTCCCTATTGTGCAATTTTCAGGTGACATGGATCTGTTAAGGTCTCTGATTACTCTCTTGATCTTCCTTAGTGCTAATCCTATTACTGTCAGTCATCACGTTTGTTCACCCCTCGCATTCGCCAGATTACTAGACTGCCAACGTCTAGTCTGGGCATGTTTGTCATTCAGCACCTTCCCTATTTTTACAATAATGAAGGACATGGGACATAAGGACGGTGGCTTCTCGAACTTATGTGATTTGATCTTCTCTGATAAACTCACAGTATAGTGTTTCTGCCCTGGCTCATGAGAAAATATGTTAATTTGAAACAAACATAAGAAAAGTAATGACTTAAATTCAAAGTATTTTTCACCTTGTAAATTATTTTCGACAATCCTTTCCCTTCAAACTTCAAAGCATCCTATAAGGCTCTATCATATTCAATAATGTTCTGTCCCATAGGGATCTGGCCTAGCTTGCAACCGTTCATGTCCCATCATGCTCCATGTAGTAATCTGCTGATGCTTCTCACATGCCTGTCTCCTTCACTTTTCTGTTCCTACCCTCCTCTATTTCTGTCCCCTCTTACCTATTTACTTCTGACTCTCGCTCTCTCTTAGCCCACCTCTCCCAGGGGTAGGTGAAATAAGAGGGGCGTACTGCCGCTGCTATGCCAATATTTATTTTCCACCTGAAAACCTGATATTGGATGCCTGAGAGATGAGATCATCTCAATGGCTCTACTGAAGCTCATAAGAGCAGCAGACCACAATTAAAAAATATGTCTCTCTATCAGATTTCGGGGGTTTACACTCCTGGGACTCAAAGTGTTTTGGTTTCAGCAGCTTGTTTTCGTTCACTCACGGATATCAACGTTTCCACAGCCAGCGTTGAGCAAGAAAAATACCCTGGAATGAATTCCAGGCTAAAGTATGACAACTATTTAATTTCAAGCTGAGGCTGGGGGTGGAAGGAACATAGAAATTCTTAGAATTTGAGGACAACTCTTTCATTAATTTAATACAAATGATATGTCAAAATCCAGCAATGTAAGAACATTTAATTTAACCCAGCAATCATGTCTCTTATTTATTTCCTGTTTGGTTGTTGACAGGTGCCATGCTGCTTGAAGAGTTTCCCCATTTAAAGGCCCCTGTAGCGGTAATCTTATTACAGATTTAACCTCCAGCCCACATGGCTACTAGCATAATCCTTTGCACTCACAGACACACAAACACACATACTCTCACATGCATACTCACTTTACTGTAAGACTAGCACTGATTATTTTAATGAACTTTATTAATTGGGATTTGCCCAAGAAAGCAGATGCATTTGTTTTTTAGAACTCTGCATAGTCATTACTTTCAAGTCATTTCAAATAAAGGTTTCTGATTGGTGTTAATGCTGCAAATTGCATTATGATTAAAGATTTGGTGGAAGATATTTATAGCATATAAATATGAAGTGATTATTTTCAATGTAACCCGTTTAAATTAAGTGTTGTGTTGGTGTTGCTTTTACCTGGCACGTCCAGATCCAGGTGATCAAATACCCATCGTCCCTAAATACATTGAATATTTGCAGGATCCCTCTGGAGTAGCCGAATATGGAGATGCTGGCATCAGAGATGGCAAGATTTAAGGTGAGGAAGTCGGTGGACTGTAGTGAGGCCCGCTGCCTGTACAGGACAAACATCACTAAACTGTTTCCAAACCAGGACAGCCATCCTACAGACAGACAAACAAACAGCATGTCAGTGAATATTTTGGCACACATATTGTTTGGTACAGTTACTATAATACTACTTTAAAGTAATATATTTGTGAAATGTATTGGAGTGTACAAACATCACTAAACTGTCTAGTATAGTATAGTACATTTTAGTACTTGGAATAGTAAACATTTTTTTTAAAGATCATGAGATACTAGTTTATGATAGAAATTTTTTATTTTATAGTATAGAATAGTATAGTCCTATATAGTATAGTCCTGTATAGTATAGTATGGTACATTATAGTATAGTATATTGTGGTATAGTGCAGTCCTTTATAGTTTATTCTTATAAAGTATAGTATAGTATTGTATAGTATAGTATGTTACAGTGTAGTATAGGATAGAATAGTAGTGTGCAGTACATTATAGTATAGTGTAGTTTAGTAAAAGACCACATCATTTCATTGTATACTTAGGTAAAGTAGAACAAAGTAGAGGGTGTACAGTGCCTTAGGGTGTAGTGAGTAACCAATGCTGCAGTGATATGGTGCTTGAAAGAAAGTAAAATTGTAGACAGCATACAGAAAAGAGCTACACGATGTTTGATGCATCAAAGATTTGCTCCCATTCTGGCAATTCAGGCAGGCATGGGCTGGGTGTCAGGATCAGCACAACCTAGTTATATGCACGACACAATAATACAATTCAATTTAATCATGCAATGTGGTAGAGTATATTATGTTAAAGTGTTGTATAGTGTGTTGTTTTATATTATTTCACGCCTAGACTACTGCAACTCCCTCCTGGCTGGTCTACCTGCATGTGCCATCCGACCTCTGCAGCTCATCCAGAATGCAGCGGCTCGTCTGGTCTTCAACCTTCCTAAATTTTCCCACACCACTCCGCTCCTCCGCTCCCTTCACTGGCTTCCGGTAACTGCTAGAATCCACTTCAAGACACTGGTACTTGCGTACCATGCTGCGAATGGATCTGGCCCTTCGTACATCCAGGACATGGTTAAACCGTACACCCCAGCGCGTGCACTACGCTCTGCATCAGCCAAACGACTCGCTGCGCCCTCGCTGCGAGGGGGACCCAAGTTCCCATCAGCAAAAACACGTGGGTTTGCTATCCTGGCTCCAAGATGGTGGAATGAGCTCCCCATTGACATCAGGACAGCAGATAGCTTGCACATCTTCCACTTCGAGCGATAGAACTATTAACAAAGCACTTATATACTAATAAAGGACTGGCTTATCTAAAGCCAGTTGAGTAGCACTTGAAATGTTTGGCTCTATGAAACCTGATGTACTTATATGATTCTGTTTTCTTCAAGGTTGTGTCTTCCTGGTCGAATGTACTTATTGTAAGTCGCTTTGGATAAAAGCGTCAGCTAAATGCAATGTAATGTAATGTAATATTATAGTATTATTGTATGTTATGGTACTGTATATTATGGACTAGCATAATGCTGGAGAGTATGGTAACAATGGAGTCTAGAGTAGATAACAGTGAATAGTATAAGAAAGTGCCCAGCTTTGTTCTCCTTGACCTAGCTTTATGTCTATTTCTGTGAAAGTACGTTGAATAAAAAAAGTTCTTGCATATACACATACCTGACCATTAAAGATGATTCTGAAGTACAGTCCAAAAAGTCTAACTTAGTGGAGGGCAATGCAGTACAGCGTGGCATTATATAACTCAATAGAGCAGTACACAATGCAGTAGAGAGGAGAACAGAGATCCAGAAAGCATGACTATTCTGTATTTTAGTAAAAGTGGCAAGAACCAAAGATAATTGTATTTCTTTTTATAGCTCAGTCTAAATAACACAAAATCCCTGGCCTGCATTAGTGGACGTGGACAGTGCCAGACTGTCTGTGACAGCGGGACTCTTGGAAACATGAGGAACAACAGTTGTTTTTGTTTGGACACTTGTGTTACTCTTTCTTGCTAGTGTTTGTCCTGAGGGGTTAAAAGGACACAACTATTTTGGGGTTTTTCTTGTACAGAGCTATGGAAGCCAGAACAATTTGAAACTAAGAGGATATATTTCAAGAAGTGTGTCATTACTTCACATATCAGCTTCATAGACATTCATCTAGGGTGCTTGCAATGTTTTTTATTTAAATGTTAATGAGTATGCAAAAAAAGACATTTCAAGTCACATTAAATTCAGTGTATGGTGTTTGACTTACCCAACACTAACAGATATATTCCAATGATAGTTTCTCCTTGTTCGGACAGGGGAGGCTCTGTATTCACAGTACTGAGGTTATTATTCCTCCAAGGAATATTTACCACCTTCATAGGAAAACCCTTCAATGTAATTTCCATGGCCTCTGTTTTGATGGCAAGGCATGAATCCTTGCTGTCCTCTCCAGTATCTCTGCTCCCCTCTGCTCTCAGTAGATACAACTGTGTTACAGTAGGCCTGCCCGGTTATTTCATTTTAAATCCAGCTTATCCCGGTCGCTAATACCTCACCACTCACTGTCCAAACGATTGCACCTGTAATCCTCTCTATTTATTAGAGATTTTGGATGAAAATCCAAGCCAACAGGGAAATGTCTGGTCAGCTGTTCTACTAATGGAAATTGCTTAAAGGCCATCAGTGGAGGCTACACCTACCTACTAATGCTGAACTATTTTTCTAAATTCAAATGGCTTCCTTTGCCATTGCTAAAACAAATTTTCATTCTGAGGATCTTTAAGTAAATGGAGAAAATGGAGAAAACTAAACTTTTGTATTCTAATCTGTATTTCTAACTAAACAACTCACAGTGAATCATTACATCATTTGTAGCATATATTCTCATTTTAGTTTAGCTCAGCTTATTCAGCACTAATTATCTCAGCCAACAGTTTTATGTTTAGGTTTGGTTTCGCTGGTTTGTTTGTCTGTCTAACAGAATAATTACGGGAAAAATACTGGGTAGGTTTTCATGAAACTTGGTGGAAAGGTAAAGCATGGGCCAAAAAAGAATCCAATACATTTTGGAGTAGATCCGGATAACAGTCTGGGTATGAGCATTCTTTTTCACTTTGGAAACCACCTCGCGACTGCTCACAACTGCCAAAAGAAAATATCTGACTGTACAGCATATCTATAATATGTGGGCCTGTGGTCTAGGGGTATGATTCTCGCTTAGGGTGCGAGCGGTCCCGGGTTCAAATCCCGGACGAGCCCTCTCCTGTTTAGTTAGAAGTTGTAGTGTGTGTATGACGTAATGCGCTTAGCGCTAGAAAATATCCATAAAATATTGTAAGTGGAGTGCCTTTGAACACATGGTGATAATGGTGGAATTCCTTTCAACCTTGAGATTGAGGTGGTGTTTGGCTATAACTACATGAAGCATTTATACTCTGTGTTTATTTGAGTGCCTGTTTTCTTTTGTATTGATATGCTTTGGTTCCTCAAATTATTTGAAAGGATATGAAAATATAAAGCCATTGCCAACAGCCCATTTGTTTAGCTTAGCTAGAAAACAGCTTCATAATTACTGTACAGATATTTTAACTATTTGCAAGAAAGCCAATAAGCGTATTTCCCAAAATGTCTATTCCAAACTTTGCCAATATTGTTTGTTCAAATAGGGCCCTACGGAACAACATGGGGAAACATCTTGTCACTTCATATTGTCTGGAGCTAGTGTGTAAGAGCAATGTTTTACAAGCTATGTAGTCTGGCAACAATTAACAGCATCTTACCCATTCAGAGAAATCCCTTTGTTCTTTGAAAATGAGTTGTGTCAATGATTACTAACTGACACCTCCTCTCCAGAGACATGTTCTAGTTTTCACTAATCACCGCCATTAAGAAAAGGGTCATACAGACGATGACTTTTGTTCTGCCAGCGAGACTTTGCTTAACTATAATGTAAAGCACATTTATCTTAATGAACACTGAGGCCAGAAGAATCCTACGAGTAATGAAGTCAGTGTGAGCTAATGTGGGCCCTGACAAATTCCCTGAGCTCTGATGTTAGTGTGAGAGCATCTAGAACCCACTTTCAGTACAACCATCAGAACAAATATTTATTAGGACAGTTTGGGGATTTCACTAACACATGTTCCTATTTTATTGATTAAAACCCTTTGTTATGTATAAACTTACAATTGCACCACATCTCCCCTCCTCCACCTTGCTGCTCTTCACAGTGAGCTGCTCTGTGGCAACACACCTAGCGAAGGGGTAACCTAAACCGCCCCCCCTCGGCCTGTGTTTAGATCACAGTGTGCACCTTGTTTTCCTCCTCTAGTCGCCACAGAGCAGCTCTGCTGGCCCTCAGGATGTGGAGGGAAGGGCCTCCGCTGCTGCCAGATGCCTCGGTGCTTCCGAGTCCTCCTCATCAAACCTCTTCTTTGAGCCTTTCGAAAGCCAGTCCGGGGAGAGTGACGGAGCTGAGGGAAAGTAAACCTCCGACCCCAACTGTCACCCGTCCAGCAGCAAACACTGAACACAGTCATTGCTCGGCCCCACCTCCACCTAAAGACGCCCCACAACATAGCTTCAGCTCTGCAGTGATCCCTGTGTTTGCAGCCCAGAGAGAGCGAGGTTTTCTGATGCCTCTGTGGTGTGAGTCTTCTTGTTAAAGTGGATGTGATAATGGCTGCGGTATAGGCATAGTTCAGAAACCTCACAGCACAACGTAGTCACTCACAGCCAGATATTCTAGTGCTAGTCTTAACTGCATAACACGTTTTGTTGTTTAAGGAAGGACCATTGTTAAGGGCATACTTGACCCAAAGATGATCATTTAAATATCAATTACACACGGTTGTGTGTCTTTGAATTATTCTTGCATGCCTCTACTGTATGGGACAAGAAAAGCCCGGAGGAATTTAAGTATGAGAGGGCCAAGACAAACAACAGCTAAACTATTTCGAAAGATCTTTTTAAAACTGTCTCTGCAGTTCAATTGAAATGTCCTTTATCTGGTCGTATGCTCACCACCACCACACATTTCCACTAAAATATCGCTTTCTTAAACAAGTCTAACCCTGTGCAAGCATGAGAGTGTTTATGCAGATGTCTTTTTAAAATAAAAAAATTAAATGTTTTGGTGAGCATATGACTGGAAAAAATTAGAGTGAGAGTTGGTGAAGGGATGTTTTGAAGTATACCTTGAACAAACAATTGATCATCACACCTATGGTTGTAAGAAGGCCATCCTCTTACAGAGAAAGTGAGGAGATTAGACTGTCTGGCTGAAAGAGTGCGGCACGTCTGTGCTGTCAGTGTGGAGGACAGCTGCTGCTAAGATTACGCTGCTGCTAAACTAGCAGGTCAAAGACCAAGGAGGAACCTGCAGTCAGGTGCTAAGGACAACACAACTGACAGTCAACAAAATACATAAGACACGTTTCTGAAGGCAGGATCTTGCAATGAGTTCATAGTTGTTGAGACATTAATGCCCTGTTCTGACAAACATCCTGAGATGTGACACTTACTGTACAGTCAGTGTACAATGCTCAGGTGTTAGTATGTCAGAGGGAGACCTCAAGATCAGCAAAAGTGTGTGTGTGTGTGTGTGTGTGTGTGTGTGTGTGTGTGTGTGTGTGTGTGTGTGTGTGTGTGTGTGTGTGTGTGTGTGAAGCTTGGCAATCCCAGTGCAGCCACAGTGGACCACTGTATCATTAGGCTTATGATCATTACTCTCCCTCTCCCTCTCCCTCTCCCTCTGTGTGTCGAGCAGAGCCTGAATGTGAGGTTAAAAGCTCAACATTTTCCAAACGGAAAATCACAGACACAGATACTATTATGGAGGTGTGTGTATATGAGCTGTCTGAGTGCAACAAAGCCTCTCTTGACAGAGGACATACACCAGGTCAAGAGACCCAATACAGGATCTGCCTAAAAAGGTCTACACACTTTCTCTCTCCATGTCACTACACAAGGGGCACAGGGACTGCTTGTATGAAGGCTCCACACAGTATGGAGGTAAATGGCTTGCCTGTCATTTGTTGGTCTATGTCCTCACAGCAGTATAACAAAATCTATACTTCCTTTTTGTGCATAGCTATTTAAAGATTTTGGCCAACATGGCCTCCAGTTGTCAAGAGCAAATTGGTGAGAAAGTTATCTTGAAGAGCTTTGTTTAAATGTAGCCCTTTTTAGGACCTGTGACTTAATATCATATCAAATCTGAATGCAAAAATAGATGATTGAATGGAACATTTTAAAATATTTCTCTTTTCCCTTTCGGCATATTCTCAGATATAGAACAACCCATTGAAAGAAACATCAAGCTGGCTTACAGGTGAATATGGCATAGGTCCAGTAACAAAACCATACAAACCACTGCCTGCTCACAGCATGTCCACACCACCTTCTTGTAAGTGCTTGAATCTCTTAGGAGTAATATCAGTTTTTAGATATGGGCACACTTGTTAGTCTTTCACAACTTTTCATGTTACCCTAGAAAGTCTACATTTCTTTGAGTTATTAAGTAAGAATAATTTGAATAATATGGATATTAGGCTTTGCACGTGAAGTAAGACCTGGAAAAGTGTGACCCCATCCTAGAGATTCATGGTAGAGCTTTGTGATTTGTTTGTTTAGTCAAAAGTTTGTGAAACCCCTCAGTGAAGCACACAGTTTATGCAGTTACCACAGGTACAAAGAGTGTTCTGTGTTTCTCACTAACTCTTCCCCCTGCACCAAAACAGTTTTCTGCCCTACAAGGCATTAGCAGAAGTTGCTGCTTCATATATATATTTAAATAGCGCTTCCTCTTACAGAGCTTTTGTTTTGCTGTCCTGTTGAACTTTAACAGGAAAATAACACTCTGTATTGTTGGATTTATCTACAAAACTATATTCAGGAGAAAAGGGGCTAAACTGTTGCCTGATATGCTTTTTGCACAATACCCCATAATAAAACCTGTGGGGAAAGAATAGATGAATGGTTCAGTATGCATTTAAAACTGAACACAGGCTCTGTGTCAAGCCCAGTGGAGCGATGTGTGGACTGGTTTTGTGGCTCAAAATCTTTGGCTCTGAACCACATGCAAACATTTACTTGGGCACTGCGTTGAGTTTGCAATTTCTCCTCCAGAGTCCGTTTGTTTAAGCAGGTAACTTATGTAAGTAGGGCTCATTGAGGGTTGAATACACCCCATTCCCGAAGGGGTCTGCACATCAGTTTTGACACGAGGGGATATATTGCCAAAATATGGATGTGGAAATATAAATCTGCAAATAAAACTGTACTTCCTGTTGGGATATGGACGGTTTGATGTCTACTGACTGTGGCTTCTGCTTCCACAAATGCAGATCGTTGCTCTGAGAAAGTTTGGTTTTCTCTTGAATTAGCCCCCCTTGGTCTGAGTGAAAGGTTTGTGCCCAGAGACTGGACTCTGGAGACCGTCCTCTGGCCTTCTGGGGATTGAGGAGATTAGTGACCTCCACTGAGGAGCTACGTCTGCAGGAGCCTCCAGAAACTGACAACCTATCACACCGTGGATCTCTTTGGAGCCCACCTGTCCCCCAACTTGATGTGTTGTAACACATTGGCGCCTCTGTGGATGGCAGAAAGGCGTAAACAATCTTGAAACTGTCAGTCAGGATCAAAGTCGCATCAAACAAGCATTTCAAATCTCCTTAAAAAAGCGTGACCCCGTTAACAACATGGATGTTCTCAGTTGTCCTGAACCACCATTAGGGTCACTGAGTTAACCCCTGTGTGACAGGAGGCTGGTGGGCAAGACCCTTATCCTCTCCCTCAGCAAGAACTTGTTATTCTTAAAGATGACTCTGATGAACCATGACACCTGCCTGTTCGAGCCTACTTAAGAAGGAGCAAAACCGTTTTTAGACTGACCTGCTGACCGCTTGGTGAATGTGGCCCCTTCAAGGCCCCTTTAACCCTTTAACTACCAGACCAAGAAAAAAGCTATGGAACAATTATTTGTTTGCATTTTTTAATCGAATGGGACACAAATAACCACTACCAATTGGTCGAGCTGGCCTTTTATGGTAAAACTGCATTTTCAACAATCATCATAAGTACAGTATTTGTATAAAAAGATCATAAATTATAATTGTAAAACAAAATAAAATGTAAAAAAGTAATGTTTAAGGTGGGGTGGGTAATTTTGAAGAAACCAGCTCGAGTGCGCTAGAATTTGAAAATACACAACCGGAAAAAATCTACCACTTCCTTACAGAGCCCCTCCAACACACACGA